ATTAACAAGTTGGAGATTTCTTTTAGATCATAGTTTTTCTGCTTGATTCATGGATTGATTGAACTTGATTGATGAAGATTTATTTGAGTTTTCTTACGTATAAAATAAAAGCAACAATTTAATTATTTCTTTATCTTGTTTTTAAATTTAATTTTGCTTGACGACAAGCAGAAGGCTAAATTTGAGGTTGTGATTAAGTCATAATTAAACAATAATTTGAAAAAAGTTTAGCTTATTATAGAGGTTATTTAATCTTAAAATCTATGTTTTTAGATAAAATTGTAAATTTCTCAACATTCTTAATTTCAAGATAAGTTGTGAATATTTGAAGTAATTTATTCAAAATTACATGAAAATTTGACTAGGTTGCATAATTTTTATTGTTTATACAATTGTTGGAAAGGAATTAAAGCTTAAAGAAGTTAAGAGAATCAATACTATGAAGCTGGAAACAAAGTTGCTTGACGTAAAAATGCTAGCAGCGGGCGTTGCAATGCCTAGAAGACTAGAAAAGAGAAGTTGACACTGATCCTTAGACGTCAAAATGCCCACCTAAATTACATGAGTATTAGACTAATTTATATAATTTTATTGTTTAATTAAAGCTTAAAGAAGTTAAAAAAATCAAGAATATGAAGCTGAAACAAATATGTTAAGCGTAAAAATGCTAGCAGTGGATGTTGCAATGCCCTACAGACCAGAAAAGAGATTCTGACCCTAACCGTTGAGCATCAAAACGCCCAAGGTAGTTTGAAGCCTAGACATCAACAGCAGCACACATGATGCACGTCAAAATGTTAGAACCCAGAGTTTTGATACCCCCATGACTTGGAGAAATTATTGTTATCCGACATCATCATTTTAATTAGTTAATCTCAAATTTAGAATTTTTCATGTTTCAGTTTTTCACTTTTCTCTCCTCTCTTAAGATTTGTTAGAACTTCTGAGGATGAAGAGTCATGTTTCTGTGAAGATTTATACTTTCTTTCTTATTACTTCTGTTTTTATTATTGTAACTATATATAACTAATATGATTAACTTCTATTTAATTCTCTTATATTATTAATGTTATTTCATTTTTATTTAGCTTTTTCTCTTATAATTGAATGAAAATTTTTACTTTGATGCGTTTTTTTTATTTGACCACCTAAACAGTGATATTAAACTGATTGCACAGTTAAAAAATTAGTTGTTGTATTATATCTATCTAATTCAACATGATTTTTGTCATGTTGAAATTTCTACTGAATGGTTGAAACTTTTGTTAACTGTATATACTTTTTAATAGCGGTTAGTTCAATTGTTTAGTTAGTTTATCTGTTTTCTAACTTTTCTGTTAGTTCGTTAGCGAGGCCTTTTTTTTATATATATAAGGCTTGTTCTTAGTTTTGTTTTTTCATGAATTGAACGAGTTTTTCTGTAAAGCTTTCTTCTTCTGCCATTATGTCTTTTGACATGGTATCAGAGCCCCTTTCCTAGGGGCTCCGCTGCGCAAGCTAAATTTTTTTTTCTCAAGACTTCCAGTTCGTCTTGTTCGTTCTTTTTCCCGTTTCTTTGAAATCAATTGATTAATATGGCGGTTCCTAATTTGGATCTTGGAAATCCTTATTACATGCGTCCCAATGAAAATCCAGGAATTTCAATTGTGTCAGTTACCTTGAATGGTGAATGGTAAGAATTATCACACTTGGTCTCGGGCGATGACTATGGCATTGAGATCCAAGAACAAACTCAAATTCGTGAATGGAGATTTGCCAAAACCAGAGATAGGAGACGCAATGTTTGCACCGTGAGAAAAGTGTAATACCATGGTGGTATCATGGCTGACTCAATCTTTGGAGCCAACAATAGCTCAAAGCGTTTCGTGGATAGAACATGCCTCAGAAGTGTGGAGTGATCTCAAGGAGAGATACTATCAGGGGTATGTGTTCAGAATCTCAGAACATCAAGAGGTGGTTTATTCCGAGTTAAGGGAACAATTCTGTTACAGCATATTTTACACAATTGAAAAGCCTATGGCAAGAAATTGAAAACTTTCGACCACTGCCAAAATGCAGTGGTGAGCAGTGCTCATGCGATTTGATCCCTACTATATAAAAGTATCGTGATGGAGACTGTGTCATAAGGTTCTTGAAAGGCCTTAATGACCAATATTCTGGAGTCAGGTCAAGCATCATGTTGATGGATCCTTTGCCTTCCATCAATCGAGTGTTTTCATTGTTAATTCAGCAAGGCAGTTTGGGATGCCAGTTGATGAGCCTCAGATTCTTGCATCCTATGGAAATGGTGGTAGGTAGGGGATCAGGAGGAAGAGGACCCCAGAGATCAACAACCTAGTTATGGAGGTAGATGTTGAGGAAATGAAGTCTATAAACAGTGTTCATCTTGTGGTAGAACTGGCCACACAATAGATGTACGTTACAAAAATCATGGATATCCCCCACACTTGAAGAAAGACCATGCTGTGAATAATTGTAGATTCCATGAGGAAGAAGGTAACGAAGACAAGAGAAGCATAATCTCTCAGAGGGAAGCTGTTGCGAGTTCAAGTCTGACCTTCACACCTGAGCAGCATCAAGCTTTACTGACATTACTGCAGCAATCAAGTTGTAATAGCAACCATGGGGTAAACCAATTTACAAATGCCTCAAATATACACAAAGATACAGGTATGATTTGTAACCTTACCAATATTTTTCATAAAATCTCCTGGGTCATAGACACAGGAGCAACAGATCATGTTTCAATTCTTTATCCCTTTTTCAATGCCACAATAAAATTAAACCTATACTCATAAAATTACCAGATGGCAGCAATATCAAAACTGACATCAATGGCACAATCTTTCTCTCCGAATCTCTCCACCTGACAGATGTTCTCCTTGTTCCTAGCTTTACCTTAAATCTAATTTCAGTTTCCAAATTGACAAGTTCTTTGCAATGCAATTTCATATTTTCTAAATCTGGTTGTCAGATTCAGGATTCCAGCTCCTTGAGGATGGTTGGTGCAGCTAATTTGAGGTCAGGTCTATATGTAATAAAAATCACTTCATCAAGACATGCTGACATACACCATGTAAATAGCTATTATATTTTCAAAAATAACATTTGGCATCTTAGGTTAGGACACCTCTCTCATGACAAACTGTCTGTAATGCAAAAAGAATATCCCTTCATTGATTGTAATAAGAATGTTGAACCTTGTGAGGTCTGTCATTTGTCCAAACAAAGAAAATTACCTTTCAATGATAGTGAAACATTATATTCTGATATATTTGAGCTTATTCATCTTGACATTTTGGGACCAATCAACACACCTTCTATGCAAGGTCACAAATATTTTTAGATAATTGTTGAACATACTGCAAGATATACATGATCTACCCTATGAAACTAAAATCTGAAACAGCGAAATTAGTGGCTGATTTCATCTCTCTAATAGAAAGACAATTTGCTAAGAAAAAATAATAATTAGGACACATAATGGACCTGAATTTAATCTAGTTGATCTATATGCAAATAAAGGGATAATACACCAAAGATCATGTGTGGAAACTCCACAACAAAACGGTTTAGTAGAGAGAAAACACCAATACATTCTAGCTATAACAAGATCTTTGTTATTTCAATCTAGTTTACCAAAAAGTTTTTGGAACTTTGCAGCATCTCATGCTATACATTTAACAAACACAATTCCATCTAAACTCCTTTCTAATAGGTCCCCATATCAGGCCTTGTATAATAAATCTCCTAACATCTCTGAACTAAGTTTTTGGATGTCTATGCTTTGCCACCACCTTGACATCACACAGAAAGAAACGAGATAACAGATCTAGGAAATGTGTTTTTCTGGGAATTAAATTGGGAATAATAGGATATGTTTTATATGATTTAAAATCACATGAACTTTCATATCTAGACATGTTATTTTCTATGAAGAATCATTTTTCACTTCAGTCGAATCTCAATCCATCACATAATAATCCATCTCCTCAATTAAATCATAATTCTGCACCTCATAATACCACTCAATCTGTCCCAGAGACATCACAACCTCACAACAGTCAATCAAGGGAATTATCTGTTTCTAATAATAATAACATGCCTTAAGGCAGCCACAAAGGGAGAGGCATCCTCCTAGCTACTTAAGGATTATCATTACACATTGGCCACCTCATCTGCCACACCAGCTCCTCACACTGTCAGGTATTCTTTCTCCCATTTTCTTTCATATAACTCACTTTCATCATCTCAAAAACATTACTCTCTTTCTATCTCTACCACTCATGAGCCTCAATCATACCAAGATGCTATCCTTCATGATTGCTGGAGAAATGCCATCCAAGCAGAATTGCAGGCTTTGGAAAAGAATCAGACATGGATCCTAAGGATGTAAATGGGTTTTCAAAGTGAAATATAAGGGGATGGTTCGATAGAAAGGCACAAAGCCAGGTTGGTAGCTAAAGGTTTCACTCAGACAGCAAGTATTGATTTTCTGGATACATTCAGTCCAGTAGTAAAGATGACCACAGTCAGGGTCCTCTTGTCCTTGGCTTCAACACAAAATTGGCACATCCAATTGCTGTTAGTTCAATTGTTGTTTAGTTAGTTTCTGTTTTCTAACTTTTCTGTTAATTTGTTAGCAAGGCCTTTTTTTATATATAAGGCTTGTTCTTAGTTTTGTTTTTTCATGAATTGAATGAGTTTTTCTGTAACATTAATGCATGCATTAATCAAATTCACTTAAGAAATTAAGAGGTTTTATTGATAACTTTAGAAGTTTTCATCTAAAGAATTAGAGCAGATTCAAATTTGTAAACTTAACCTTCACAGCTACATATTTAGAAGTTAAAATAATTTTAGGTATTTGCAATAAACATAAAATTCATAAACAATTTTTCTTTATTTTCTAATCTTTCATTTTGATATACATGTCATAACGTTACTATACATGTTCAAATAGTAATTTGATCTTCATACATCGGTAGATGGCCATTCCTATGCAGACAAGTTTGCTTATTCAAGCAAAGCAATTCATCAAGACAAACATAAACTAGGAAATTATGGAATCATATGGTCCAGAATGCAATAATTGAATAGGGAGAAGAAAAAAAGGACAAGTACCAGCTCAAGTAACAACAGTAGTACTACAAAAAAAACCTCCACCATAACTCAACATTACATAAAATGGTATGGTGCCTTCACCTAAGCACAAGTACCATGCTAAAACTTGTCATTTGGCCAAAAGACTCAAATGACGATATCTAGTCAAAATCCATTATAGCAAATTACTCATTTGGTAAATAGCCAGTACTTCATGTGAATTCATACCATGATTATTGAGTATTTAATACGAAAATTAAATAAAGGGAGAAGCACAGGCAGGCAAGAAGAGACACAAGTAACAGCATTGCAATGAGCATTACCACTCATTTATTTCACAAGAGTTGAATGCCAAGACATACCCTAACGTATGATTACTCTTGCTATGTGCCCTCAGCCTCACACTGACCAAATTTTATGGCCCCAGTAACATGTACAACAACTGCAATTCTGTACATTGTGATACTTCTATGCAACTATTTGGGAGCTAATCTGATAGGGCAGATAGAGAAAGCAATACAACGAGCTGCTTTTGCCAACATAAACCGCTCTTTTTCATTCAAAGGCCTTTCAATCACCTTGATAACGTTGGCATCCTAGATCAACAAAGATCAAGCAGTGATTAAGCTTGCTGTAAGAAATAGAAGACAAACATATTGCTCTCACAAATCACAATCAAGTATTTAGCAGGAATTAGTAAAAGAAAGCAAAATTAAAAGTGCAAATAATAATTATTTAGGTCAGCTGTGCTGCTGTAATGAATCAAATTAGATTTAGGGACTTAATTGTAATTCATGGATTCTTTTAGCCTTAGTTGCAAATTCTGTTAAGTTTGTTTGGCTGCCAAGCTGTTAGGCTGTTGGTGGCGCCAATAATCTGTTAGGTTATGTAGAACATTAATTGGTTATAAAAACCAACATCTTGTAATCTCAATCAATCAATAATCAAATTCAATCTTTGTTTCCTTTCTTCTCTTCCGAATTTAGAGAGATTGAGAGTGAGTGTTCAGGAATTGCAGAAACATTCCTAACAGTGGTATCAGAAAGCTTGGCGACGCAACCATGGTGAGCAACAACGAATTGGAGACGAGGGTCGATTCTTTCGAACACATTTTCCAAAATTCCCAAGAAACCACGCAGAAGACGCTGGAATCTTTAGCAAAAATAATTGAAAATCTCGCTGCGAAGGTCGAAGCTCTTTCCACCGGCACGAATGGAGTTCCGATTGGCAACGACGAAAGCAAAACTCCGGAGAACAACGTCAACTCTGTTCTCGACAGAACCCAGATTCAATTTCCTTCGTTCGATGGAACCAATTACAGGGATTGGAGGGCGAAAGCTGAACAATTTTTCGAGCTTGAAAGAACTCCGATTGAGCAGAGAGGAAAACTGTTGTTGCTATCAATGGAGGGCAAAGCATTCGCGTGGCAACGTCATTATCTGAAGCACCCTGATTTTGCGAACAAATCTTGGTCCGAAATCTTGAAGGATGCTGGAACTCGATTCGATGATGGTGGTTACGATGACCCAATCGCCGAAATTGCAAGATTACGGCAACAAGATTCGTTGATACAATACCTTGAGAAATTTGATAACCTCCTGGCTCGTGTGTCAATCACTGAGTCTATGGCGCTGAGTTTCTTCTTAGCTGGGTTAGAACCACAGCTAGAGAAGTCTGTACGCTTGCACAATCCACAATCCATGCACGAAGCTACAAGACTAGCCAAATTGCAAGATGAAATCCTAAAGGAGTTTGAAAGAAAGATGATGATGGGAAGATCCAGTGTAGCTAATCAACATAGTTATTCAAGAACATGGTCCAACACATCCCGTAACTTCAGGAATCAACCTATCACCAATCTTCAACAACAACACACTCACAATTCTTCTGTTTCATTACCTGTTCAAGAATCAAAGGCGAGTCCTATATCCCCGATAACTCAGAACGATGCTAGTGAACGTATATCTAAGGGATTGTGTAGATTTTGTGGTGAGAAATGGGAAAGGAACCATAGATTGAAATGTAAAGTCTGGGGTAAATTAATTGCTATTTTTTGTGAACAAGAAGAACATGATATGGATGAAGAAGGTGGCAATGCTTCTGAAGATGAGGAATTAGCATTGAATAATAGTAGACTATTAAGCACTGATGCAAATGTGCAAATCTCCCTACATGCATTGAAAGGTATTGCTGGTGGTAGCACTTTACAGTTGCAAGGTTTAATCAAAAAGCAACCTGTCCCATTCTTGATGGACACAGGAAGCACACATAACTTCATATCTGCAAAATGGGTCAAGCTTCTAGGTTTGAAGACGCAACCTATCAGAGAATTCCCTGTTATGATTGCTAGTGACCAATCTATTACGATCACAAGAAAATGTTATATGTTGGACTGGAAATTTGGTCAGCATTGTTTCACAACAGACTTTCTTGTATTACCTGGATCTTCATTTGGAGTAATTCTAGGAATGCAGTGGTTCAAAGTACTGGGCGAGATCAGCTGGAACTGTGATAAATTGACAATGAAATTCATGCATCAAGGAAAGGAAGTGGTGTTGAAAGGAGAACAGCAGCAATGTGCCTTGATTGATGGGGCTGGAAATCTACGAACAATCACTATGCAAGCTATGATCTTCTCTATGAATGGATCTATCTGTTTTCAAATTTCCATGGATCCAGATGAAGTGAGCTTGACTGAACAGCAGCAAACCGAGCTAGAAGATCTCTTACAGGACTTTACAAACTTGTTTGTGGAGCCTACATCATTACCTCCTAGCAGAAGGTATGATCATCAGATCACCTTGACTGATGAGAAACCTATCTGTCGAAAACCTTACCGTTATCCACATACTCAAAAGGAAGAAATCGAAAGACAAGTTCAGGCTATGTTAAAGACAGGATTCATAAGGGAAAGTGGTAGTTCGTTCTCTTCTCCATTGGTTCTGGTTAAGAAAAAGGATGGAAGTTGGAGGTGCTGCACAGATTTCAGGAGGTTAAATGCTGTAACTGTAAAGAATAAGTTCCTTATTCCACTCATAGAGGACTTATTAGACGAATTGAAAGAAGCTGCTTACTTTTCCAAGTTAGACCTGAAAAGTGGTTATAATCAAGTGAGAATGCACGAGCGGGACATCCACAAGACAGCATTTAGAACACACAGCGGCCATTATGAGTGGGTAGTTCTCCCATTCGGGCTGAGCAATGCTCCTGCTACATTTCAGAATTTAATGAATGACATTTTCCGAAAGCACTTAAGAAAGTTTATCCCTGTGTTTTTTGATGATATCTTAGTCTATACTAAGACTTGGAAGGAGCACAAAGCATGTTTAAGAGAAGCACTTCAGATTTTGGAGGAGAACTGTTTGGTACTGAATTATAAGAAGTGCAGCTTTGGCAAAAAGAAAGTGGAATACCTTGGACATGTGATCACTGTTGATGGAGTAACACCGGCTGCAGGAAAGATTGAAGCGGTACAGCAATGGCCTACACCTAAAAATTTGAAAGAACTTAGGGGATTTCTAGGACTTTCTGGTTACTACAGAAGGTTCATTAGAAATTATGGATGCTTGGCTGCCCCCCTGACCTCACTTCTTCAAAAGGACCAGGCGTACAACTGGAATCAACATGCAGAAGAAGCATTCTCGGCTATCAAAAAGGCCTTGATCACAGCTCCTGTCTTATCATTGCCAGATTTCACTAAACCATTCACTGTGGAAACAGATGCCTCAGCAACAGGAATTGGTGCAGTTCTGATGCAACAAAGCCATCCTATAGCATTCATTAGTAAGGTAATGGGACAAAAATTTCAATTGCTTTCAGCTTACGAAAAGGAGTTCTATGCAATCCTGTTTGCAATAAAAAAGTGAAAGCATTATTTATTAGGCCAGCACTTCATCATCAAAACAGATCAGAAAGCACTGAAGCATATTATTGAACAGCCTCCAACTACACTGATGCAAAATTGGGGCCTAGAGAAGCTAATGGGGCTTGACTTCAGCATTGAATACAAAAAAGGGAAGGAGAATATAGTTGCTGATGCACTTTCCAGGAAGCCTAATACCAATCAGCTAATGGTGATGTTACAAGCAGCTTCAGAACTAACATAAGAAGTAAAGCAATCTTGGGAGGCAGATATGAAGTTAAGAAAACTCATAGACAAAATCAGAATAACTCAAGTCCCTTATAAACACTATAGCTTCAACAATCAGCTGCTGAAGAGGAAAGGAAAATTAGTAGTGGGTGACAACAAAGATCTGAGAAATAAATTGATGAAGTACTTTCATGATTCTCCTGTGGGAGGACATTCTGGTATGGACCAAACATACAAAAGAATCAAAGAGCAATTCTACTGGAAAGGTCTGCAGAAAACAGTGAAAAGATGGGTACAGGAGTGCCAAACATGTCAAAGATTCAAAACCTTTCCTCAACTGTCCTCAGGCAAACTCCAACCTCTTCCAATTCCAGAAGGAGCTTGGCAATCAATATCCATGGACTTCATTACAGGTCTTCCTAAGTCCAATGGAATGACAGTCATATTAGTGATAATTGATAGATACACGAAATATGCCCACTTCATACCTCTTAAACATCCATTTGGCGCTGCAAAGGTTGCAGAAGTGTTCATCGATACAGTTGTGAAACTACATTGCTGGCCAATTGAAATCATATCTGACAGGGACCCTTTGTTCCTTAGTACATTTTGGTCTGAATTGATGAAGAGACATGGTGTACAGCTGCTTAAGTCCACAGCCTTCCATCCACAAACAGATGGGCAATCCGAGGCCTTGAACAAAGCATTGGAGGGTTATCTAAGATGCATGACGGGAGATGTACCTAAACAGTGGAGTAGATATTTGTCTATGGCTGAAATGTGGTACAATACAAAGTTCCATTCAGCAATACAAATGACTCCATTCGAGGCTCTATATGGATACAAACCATCCATTCCATGTCCTATACAACAAGGTGAATCAATGGTGGAGGCAGTAGATTACACAATAAAGACAAGGGAACAACTTTCAAGACTTCTGCATGATAACCTGACCAAGGCTCAGAATAGGATGAAGATGTATGCTGACATGAAGAGAGTTGATAAGGAATATCAAGTAGGAGACTCAGTTTATTTGAAGATCCAGCCTTATAAGCAGCACTCTTTGGCTAGTTCTTCTTTTCATAAACTAGCAGCAAGGTATTATGGACCTTATAAAATAATAGAGAGAGTGGGCAAGGTTGCCTATAGATTACAACTACCAGCAGGGACCAAGATTCATGATGTATTTCATATCTCCTTGCTGAAGAAACACCATGGAGATCATCCTGTATATGCAGCTTTGCCTTTATTGACAGAGAATGGAGAGCCTCCAATGCAGCCCTTAGCAGTATTGGATAGAAGAATGAAGCAGAAAAACAATAGAGCAATAACTGAAATATTGGTGCAATGGCAAGATACAAACCCTGAGGATGCAACTTGGCATGACTTACAACGCATGAGGACTTAGTACCCTGAGTTTAATTGGTTTCAGAACTGATATAGACCTTGAGGACAAGGTCGTGTTTCATGGGGGGGAAAATTGTAATGAATCAAATTAGATTTAGGGACTTAATTGTAATTCATGGATTCTTTTAGCCTTAGTTGCAAATTCTGTTAAGTTTGTTTGGCTGCCAAGCTGTTAGGCTGTTAGTGGCGCCAATAATCTGTTAGGTTATGTAGAACATTAATTGGTTATAAAAACCAACATCTTGTAATCTCAATCAATCAATAATCAAATTCAATCTTTGTTTCCTTTCTTCTCTTCCGAATTTAGAGAGATTGAGAGTGAGTGTTCAGAAATTGCAGAAACATTCCTAACAGCTGCAGTGCTCAAAAGGTTGAACAGGAATAATAGGTTTATAGGAAAACAAATCATATGGGATTATAACAAGATAAATCAGAACATAAAAAACATATTTATTAAATGCGTACCTTTTGCTGGTGCTGAACAGAAGGCAGAACGCTAGCAGTTTCACCAATCACAATTATATTGTTAACATTTCCCCTTTCATCCCTTTCAGCTGGTGAAGCAGTTGAATGCTTCCATTGTCCATTTACAATGAATTTGTAGTAATACCTGATAGCAAAACGATGTCACATTCACGTGCAATGAATGCTTTAAATCATGCGCAATGTACGAAACCATGTTGCTTTCTTTGATATTGTTTTGGGTGGGTAGTGAAGGGGAGATGTGCAAGTTTTATGCTTCTAATGCAAAAGTCAACAAAAATGAAATAAAATAAACAGCATTCGTTAGAACATTATAAATGGCTTGTGAGAGATTTTTGCCAATTAGGTCATCAAGTTGAGAAAGAAATGGCATAAACTTAATCCACAGAAAGAATTATGGCAAAAGTAGCACATACTTTCCTTGTGCTAGTCTAACTTCTACTTCATGTCTTGGTCCACCCTGGTGCTTTGCCTTGATTGGTTCTTTCCAATTACCAGTAAAGTCTCCTACCAAAGTTACATCTTCTCCCTGAAACATAAAAACTAAAAGAAGTGTTATAAACAACCACAAAAAACTTGACCTTATGATCAAACTGAAAATTATTTCTCAATCCTGTTTGAGAATTAAAAGCCACATTGAAGCAATAATTAACAAGTCTGTGACCACATGATCATTCCACACAAATTGGGGACATAAAACTGAAAGGTTTAAAATAATCTACCATTGATCAGCCATACTAATAATATAACAGATGTAATTTCGTAACCCTCTTTAAAAATGAAAAGATAAATTACCCACAAAACAAAGATGGAGCTATAACTGACTGGTTTCTTACCTCATGACCATTCCACACAAATGTGACAGCATGTGTGGGAGGTCCATCGTGTTTGCCACTTTCAACCATAGCTATAAGATCCCATGTTGCCCATGCAATTGCCGGCCTGTAGCAATGTCTCTATGAAATGCTTTTCTAATTGATAGAGTGAGGAAGGCAAAAGGACCCCCCAAAAACTAAATCGAAATGGGGAAATAGGAAAAATAAGAGCATAACCACTTATGACATAAAACAGAAACAAATAAGTAATTGTAGGTTTTCTCTGGATTTTTTCTTTTCTATACTAAGTGAAACAGTCAAAGAGATGATAGCATAAATATATAAACATAGCACTTACATACCCAACAAACTATAAGCTCAAAGAATTCTGAGACAGAAAGCATAACAATTTACCTACGTTATTCCCACAGCATAATCAATTTATTCAGAATAGTATCCTCACAAATAATTCACAACCTTTATTACCTTCCCAAATAATCCATTTGAGTTTGGCACTCGAACAAAACAGAATAGAAAAATTCCTCCTGATTTGTTTTCCTAATAAGTGGAACCAAAATGAATCAATTTCGTAGCCTTTTGTTTTGATCTGTTCTCTTTTATTTTCTTTACACTTAATATTATGTTCTCTTTTTAAAATACATCAATCATACACCAGAACCTGTATGTCTAAGAAACACTACTGTATTATCTTCTTCCACAGGCCACACATGCAGTTGCGAGTGAAAGATAGAAGACTTCTGTTTATTTCTTTTATTTCCATTTAACAGGGTTTATTTCCCCATAAATTACTTGACTATTCCAAAATAAATAAATATATCAGCAAGCTTCAGTAGCTGTCTGCTATTATTTACTCTTTGGTTTCTACAGGTGAAAGTACCAATGAACTAACAATGACTCTCGCAAACACAAAATGGAATTCACTAACATTAGAAGAACATACATCAAAATAATAAGGAAACAGTATATAACAGATATGCTTTTCAAAACCCAAGAGCCAATAGCCAATCATCTTATATTTAAATTCTCAGGCTGAGACAGAACTTGCAAAGTTGTCTGAAAAGAAAAAGAAATGTGTATATTTACATTTGTTTATAAATTGCATATTAAAAAGATTCTTTTTTGAAAATTTGGTTTTTAACCAAGTTCAATGGCAACATGTGATCCATGTTGCCGACCTCACCTAATGAGATAAGGTTTGGTTATTGCTGTTGTGTAGCTTGCTTTCATGCTCTCTTGAACAAAATGAATTAAACTGTAAATGTATGATACAAAAGTGTTTGAAGTTTGGTAAGATGAACCTGTCAGGTCTGCATGTGTGTATGCCAGTGACCCAAGTATAGGCTGCATGAAGGGAAACATCTGTAATCCAATGTAGGTATGCAATAACACAAGCAGGAGACCGATCAAATCCAGAAGTGCAAGTCACGAAAACACGAAGATTCTTCCTTAGCAACCTTAATAAAAGCCCCACACAAAATGGCAGCTTTTTTCTCATATCATAAGAATCTCCCTCCCTGCAAACATAAGTAAAGAAAACCCAATAAAAGAGAAACAAACAAAACAGAACACGAAGTTAAGCAGCTGAGGTAGAACAAAATGAGGACTACACAAACGAAGTAGGGTGAGCCACAGAATAGAAAGGGAACAGACCACTTTTATACTCAAGAGACTTGCTTTAAGACTACAAGAGAAGTAGTGGGTGTGTCCGTGCTTGGCCAGATACAATTCTGACTGCTACTTATTTGATCAATAGGATGCCTAGTAAAGTCTTGAAATTTAAGACATCCTTTAGATGTCTTCATTGATTTTTTTTCCAAAAGACACGCTCCCCTTCAGATATTTGGATGTACAGTCTTTGTGCACTCTCCTGATCATAATCAAAGTAAACTTAATCCTTGAGCAACTAAGTGTTTGTTTATTGGTTACTCTTCTAATCAAAAGGGATATAAATGCTTTGACCCTACTTCTAAAATCATTTTGAATCCACTCCTTCTCTAAAATCAAAAGGGATACTGATCCATATTTTTAAATTTCAAAAAACTGATTTTTGAGCTTCTAAATTTGCTATTTCTAATACTATTGTTTAGTCATATTTATAGTATATGTGGCATACAATGTAATGAGGTGCTAATCTTAATTAATCTATCAATGAGTATACTATCGTTAATATGTCCCACATTAGCTAGGTATAGAGATAGAATACTCCTTATAAGGGATAGGATAGTCCTCCTCCTATGAGCTAACTTTTGAGAGTGAGTGAGGTCCAAGTTTCTTAATATGGTAACAGAGCCTATTCAGTTTTAATGTTGAGTTGCCCATTGAGGGTAGTTCTAGCCATTCAACTTGTGACCAATGATAGGAAGAGCAGGTCCTTTGACCAAACTGGTGGCCGAACCTTCTGCCTTATTCTCTCCCATGGTTAAGTATATTTTTCTTATTTGGAAAAACACAAAAGAGGTATAAATAGAATACAAGGGAATAAAACTGTACATTTAATCTATCCCTGAAAATCAAGGAAATAATTCTCCCTATAAATGTTGTCCCTAAATAAGGAAATAAAACTGATCTTATTAACATTAAATCCTATTATGGGTTGTACAAATCAGATATGGATTATTCTAATTGATATGTGCTGATCTCCAACAGATTCTGATTGATATGCGCTGATCTCCAACAATTTTTGTCACAAAATTGAAGCATGTTATAACTTGAACTTAAAAAAAATCCATTATATAATGGATTTATTCCACCAAGCGTCATAATAATCTCTTCAATTTATCACACGCTTCAGCGTAAAAGAAAATCTATTATATAATGTTTTTGCAAGTCCAATTTATTACACGCTTCAATTTATAACAAAGATGTTCCTACTCTTCATTAGGTATATAAATAATGTGGGATACAATTATAGAAAAGGTAAAAGAAACAAATTATAGACATGAAGTAAAGAGAGGAGATGAGCATTCATCATTCAATGAAATGATTTATAATATACTCAATGATAGACGGACTAGGACTAGTACCCTACTAAATTGTCAGCCACATTCTTTAAACCTAAAGTAAATTTACACTTAAATTATCCATAATTAATTTTTATAAATTATGAAACATATTAAAATTATTTATTATTCATTTTCTATGCAGGTATTATAGTAATCAATGGCTTCAAGAGGTTCCAAGTAAACTCTCTCATCTAGATAAAAATATATCTATGGAGAAGAACAAATGTTTTAGGAGATATTTTTTAATTCTAAAGAAAGGAAAAAAGTTTCTATTCAACAATTTAGATTCTCATTAATTGCATGTGTTTTTTAGTTTTATTCTATTCAAAAAGGTAAAATTTAGATCCAAAAGCTTGGTGGGTGAACCACAGAGCTTTTGCACCATTAGTTCAAAGTCTAGTTTCAAAGCATATCCTACAGTCTTAATCTTTATCATGTTGTAAAAGTAATTGGAGTATTTACTTCACTCAACAAAGAGAAATAAGGTGAATCTCACAAGAACGGAAGATTTAGTATATGCCATACTAATCTCTGGCTTCTATCTAGGAAAAGTTAACTAGGAGAATTGAAGCATACTAGGCTGACAATAACAAATTATGAAATATTAGTGGAGATGAATTTGAACCTTGTAAGAATAATATCAGTATTTTTTAAGTAGCAAATTTATCATTGAGTAACCAATGATTGAAGCCGCAACTTGCAAAAGAAAGGAGATTGTTAGTATTTCTATTAACTAGTAGTAGTTATAGTTTATAATTTTGAAATAAGATAATATAATATCTTCAATAGTTTTAGTATATTATAAATTTTTTTAATGTAAAAAAAATTATAATCATTAAAAAAATTATAATCTAAGTTTAAGATATTTTATTATATAATTGAAATATAAATTTATTATATTTTTAAATAATGTATCATTGTCATTACATATCCTGTGTTGCATTCACGCTTCCTTGTAGGGGTGTATATAAACTGAACTACTCATGAACTATTCAAACTTCGGACATAAAATGCTTAACTATGTTTATTTAAGTAAATAAACAAGCCTAAACTTAAAGTCAGACTTGATTATTTAAATGAGTCAAACTCAAGCTTTATAAACTTTACAAAAATAACTCATGAGTAGCTTTGCATATACATGCATTCTTAAACAATTATAATTTTATTTAGGCTTATTTAAGTGTTTAGTCACTATGAAAGTTGTACAATTTAGATTGTCTCTAAATTTTTTTGATAGGATATAGTCTACTTTCTTTTAAACTTTTGTCTTTTGTCCCTCTAGCTTATGTGGTCCATTGAAATACTGTCAAATGTCAACTTTTGGTTGGATCACATCACCTAGAGAGATCAAAAACAATAACTTGTTAAAAAGTAGACCTTGTATCCTAACAAAATATATTATTGAGACTAAGTCCAATTGTGAAACTTTTGTAAGAATGTTAGAGACAAGTTTCCCGAAGGCTTGAAAGTTTACAAGCGGCAAAACTATAGGAGAGCAATTAGGAAATAAGTTGTTATGTTCTGTTTTGAGTAGTTTAAGATTTCCTTTTGTTATTGTTTTTTGTTACCTTTGAAAAAAGTTATGTTCTATCTTGAGTAGTTTAGGATTTTCTTTTGTTATTGTTTTCTGTTACCTTCTGTTATTTTCTGTTACAATCAGTGTTGTTAAATGTCGGTTATGGCGGCGCCATGGCGGAATGGCGTGGCGGTGCCATGGCAGCCGTTATGAGCATGGCGGTAACGGCCGGCCATGGCGAAAATCGTTAGAAATGGCTTTTTTTTTTTAAATATGGTTTTTCTGCACTTTTGGGCCAGATCCGACCCAACCCTAAATCCAGGTTTTTTTTCCCTCTCTTCTCCTTACGATATCACTCTTCCTCTCTTTGCGATCGCACTCTCTCTTTCTGCGATCTCACTCTCCTCTCTACTCATCTCTTTTCTCTCTGCCCTCCATCAAGATTTCACTCTCTCTCTCCCTCTGCGACATCTCTCTCTGCTGAGATCTCTTTTTGTCTTGGGCTCCTTGAATTTTTGTTTTGGTGCATTTTGTAACATCCTGTACTTTGATTTAAATAAAATAAAGGTTGTTAAAGTATAATTAGAATATATTTAGATAGAATTTATATTTAAAAATAAATAAATAAAAATTAAAAAAAAATATGAACAGTAAAATCACCTATGAACAGTGACCGATGACGTCATAGTGACATCAGCATGAAATCATGGCTGACGTCACATCCGCGTACATTACGTATACAGTACGCGTACAGTGTTTCCGGCGTAAACAGTAAGGCGATGAACAATTATTCCGGCGGTAAACAGTAAATTTCGAAAATTTTTTATAAAAAAGGAGTTTCACACTAAATTTTTATTTCTTCACTCCTATCCAAGGTTCTCAAAGGTTCTAAGGCTATATCTCACAATTTTCTCTCATACTAAACCCTCCTAAACTTAGATTTCTTTTCAGATCTGTGATTTTACGTCTGTTCTAAAGGATTTCAAGTAAGTTTCTCTAAGTTTGAAGTTAAATTTACCATTCATTTCTCTTCTTTTTCTTCTTCTTATTGATGTTCATGATGTTCTTAGGAAAAATTCAGTTCTAGAATTAAAATCTTCGGTTAAATCTTTGTAAAAGCTCTGTTTTGAGGTAAGGGGGCTCTACTTTATCATTTTGTTCTGTTTATTACTTGTATTCTCATAGATCTTGTCATGTATGTGATTATATGTGGAATAATCCTTGTTTTATGAGAAATAATCAGTGAAAAATGAGAATAATTGATTGTTTATGTGATTTTATGATGAATACATGGTGAAAATGTGATATTATGTTCAAATAAGACATGATAAGGTATATTGAAGATGGTTGATATGATTTTTATGATTTTGTGATATGAAATATATAAAGAGATGGATGTTTCATGTTTGAATATATTGTGTTTTATGTAAAAATAATGTGTATTATGAATATGCCATGATTTGATATATATGATGAAAAGTATGTGAAAATATGATGAAAAATATGTGTGAACATGAGAAATGGCATGTGAACATGTGAATATACGCAAAAGAGTATGAGATGGAAAATGATATGATGTAAATAGTTACAGAAATACACTGGAGGAGTGGAAGATAGAGACGATATGGGATATCTTGAGGAAATGCAGGATGGTGAGTGACATTCGAGATTGTGCACGGAATATTGTGATCAAATGCACCACATGGCCACACGCTTGTTTCCCGACTTGACTCCTGACCATTACCTTTGCTAAGGGGCTGTCTATTGCATGCGTTGTATCCGTATTGCATTGGGCCATCCAGCAACTATTTACATGGATGTGTAAGACTTCGGGATAGAAGCATCGAATAACTGTGGCCACAGGACGCAGTAAGTGCAGATAAAAGAAAGGAAAAGAAATTGTGAATATGTAAAATATAATACATGTTGAGATGAGAACATGCTTTATATGACACTGTGATATGTAATGTCATGATATTTTCTTTAAACGTGATAAGATGTGTTTTGTGATGAATATGTGTTATGTATGAGTGGTAGAGTAGAGACTCACCCTTATACAACATTTTTCAGGAAACCAAGATGAATAGTATCAGACTCACAGTGCATTGATGGATGAGAACTACTATAGGACTTAATTATTTTGAGTTATGTAATAGATATTTTCAGTTCTATAGCATTCTTTTGAAACAGTTGTAAAACTACTATTTCTTTTTGTTGCTGATGAAAATTTTAGGATCTTTGTTTTTCTAAAAGTACTCATGAATTAATAAAATTTTACTCTATGAACCTTATATCATTTCATTGTTTCTTTCTCATTAGAGAGTTGTTGAAAGAAAATTTACTTTGGCATTTAAATTTTTATGAAAATTTATCATATATTTAAAAAAGAAATATAAGGCATTACACATTTGGGTCTCTATTTCCAGCGACTGCAGCTGCAGCTCCATTTCGGTCCTGCTGCTGTGTGATGCTACACCGCTGCTGTTCTCTCTCTAGATTCTTTCGGTGTTTATGTGGTTGGGGCTGTTTTTGCTTGTCAATTTAAATTGCTAAACTTACGGCTTTATCTTTTATTCTTTTTTAAGGGTAAAAAAGACTTTTTATCTTTTAAAAATAAACTGAATTTTCTTTTTTACCCTTAAAATGACACTGTTTTAGATTTTTTTTAAAGGGTAAAATAGTCTTCTCATTAAAATATATTATCTAACTTTTCTTTTTCCTTCTTCCCGTCCTCATCTTCATCTTTGCTCTGTTTTAGTAGGCATCTGGCTTTATTTAGCTTCTCTCATCTTCACATTTATACTGTTTTACATCCCCTTTCCGATCCTACTTAGAATTTCGATTTTGATTACCATACTTTACATCACAAAATCAAGAAAATATTATTCAAAGTCTTGATTCTCTCATTTTGCTCTCTCAATATTTTTAATCCAAATAATATCAACCACTAGGAACTATGAGCATGAATCTGTTTGACTCTCAAGAAACATAAAAAAATCTTAATTCACTTTTACTATGGTCTATGGGTGGTGTAATTGTTGCAAAAATTTATGGTGAGAAAATGCTTTTTTAAAAGAAGGATTAGAAGGATTGACAATGATAATTTGGGCTATAAATGAAGAATTTGATAGGTAGACATTATTTGGTTAGATAAATAGTTAGAGGTATAATTAGTTAATCAGAGAGTTAGTTAGTTGATAATTGCATATTTTGTATTGAATTATATTTTAGATTGTAGGTTATGCTACATATATTTTGAGTTAATTATTTTTTATCATTTTCTGTGACCTATAGTATTTTTTTATATATTTTATTATATCCGCCATAAATCCGCCATAATCCGCCATAACCCGCCATGGCGGCCGCCATAACTTTATGGCAGTTTTTTTGGTTTCCGCCATGAGCTGTCATCTGCCATTGATAACATTGGTTACAGTAGCTAGGAGCATGATTTTAGGAAACATAACTTAAATAAGGGGATTACAGAGGGGAATGGGCATCAAAAAAATTATTTCAGACTTAGGGTGTTGAGCCACATGAGAGCTCACTTTCCATTGCTGTAATTTCTGCTCAACTGAGCCAATTCAATACGTAATTTAAATTTTAGAATCCTTACCTTATCAAAGAACCAAACACTTAATCAACCCATTTTATTTATTATATTTACTTGAAATTTATATTTTTTATTATTATCATTTTGCATATATCATTTACTTAATTTCAATTTTCAAGAGTGGTATTTTAAACAAATTACCATAATTATTTTAAAGAAATATACTATTTTCATAATAAAGCTTTTTACTTTTTACCTTAACTCATTTTTGAGTAAAAAAATATATATCTATTATCATTTTACTTTACCTTTTAGTATAAAAATATTCATTAAATACAAAATTAAAAAAAATATTCAAAGCTTATAAAAAATATATTATAAACAGGTTAATGAGTCAAGCTCAAACTTTAAATCTGATTGTTTAAACCAATGAGTCAAGCTTGCACATTCCTTTGTTTTCACAAGCCAAGCCTAAAATTTAAATATTTGATTCAACTTGGCTCATATACAACCCTACTTCCTAGGTTGTTCAAAAAAATTATCTAACTAGTAATTGTAATAGAAAACAAAATGGGAGAAAGGGGGAATAAGAAAACAAACGTGGGAGAGAATGGGACTCTCAACCACCAAGATTCTTGTCATTCTTTTCTGCCCTAACCAATTCAGGAATGCATTGGTACAGAATTTAGGTCTTTTTCAATAGAATTCGATTTATTATCTTTCTGAACCAATTTCCACTTTCTACTGGTAACATAGCTTCTCACCACATTTCTCAATTGCAAATGAGTAGCTCAGATGGTGATGATGGCATAGTAGTGTTTGCTCGAAACTAGTCAAAGTGTCAAGGCTACATGGTGGGATATTTTGATCCAATTGCAAGCTATGGAACTTTAATACCAAATTAGAAATATGGAATTCTTATGTGGGGTTTATAAGACTTTAGGCTCTCCAACTCCAACTTAGGTTTTCTCATGTGATTCTCCCACGGTTCTTATCAACCACTAACATCTGCAGTGACACAAATGCTCTGCTATGCAGTTTCCATAATGGGAACTAAGCAAAACTCAATCTCTAAAGCTAGTGCAACAGGAGTTGCCCAAGTCAATATAAAAAAGTACTTTGAATATATACCAAGCTAATGTTGGATCTTATCAGATAAAAGTGTCAAATGAAGATATCCCAAAGGGAAAATAAAAATTAGCACCTTGAAATTCGGGTCATGCACAACCAAGTCCCCAAACTTTATAAAAGCTGTATTTTAACCCATAAGGTTTTCAACATGAACACTAACCCCTCCACTATTTTTCTAATCCAAAATTAAGCCTAGAGATAATGCAAATTTACACCCTGAAGATCCTATGCAATTTAGTCCCTGAATTTTGTAAGATCTTCTAACATGCAATTAAATCTTATACTCATAATTTTGGAAATAAATTAGCAAAGGGGTTATTCTAAACATGTCAAAAAACTTAAATCAAAATACACTTTTTAGAAGTTTGGGGGACTAAGTCGCATATGACCCAAGGGTGCTAATTTACAAATTTTCCTATTCCAAGGAAAATTATCATGGTTACTTGAATTCTGAAAAATTATAATAAAAAACTGACATGCTTTGGAACTTATATTACCGTATAGGATAGTTGATCATGAGAATATTATTCCTTTGACAAGATTCATTGATTGATTTTACATTGATTCCCCAATTTTCAGCTTCAGTTCCACTTTGGAAGTTCAGAACAGCAGCAACTCCCTGTGGCAAAAATTTTCCAACTATAATCACAAAAGGATGTAATGTTTAAATAAAACATCATATACAACTTATTGCAGAAAAAAGAAACAAATATTTTAAGTGCTAGAACTCACGGTTGCTTCTGGAGATGTAATAGTCAATAACTGACCAAAAAGAACTGTGACACATTTGTAGAATCCAAAATTTTCAGGTCAAATCATGTCTTTGACACAAGACTTTGGTTGAAAGCTTTGTGCATTTCAATAATGTAATGAACTTTATAAGCACGATAAGTTAACTTAAGTTATTTTCCCTTAGCACACTGCTGTAATAATCTAATTGCAAACATTGTTTGATAACTACAGCATTATTTCTTCGAGTGAAAGGAAACAAAAATAAGTTTTCCTTTAGACACATTGAATTTTTGTAACTTAAGTTTATATTAATTCAGTTGCACATTGTCTGTTAAGGCATTAAACTGGGATTACAGAGGCTTGCATGAAAATAAGCCGCCAATCGTTACCTCATCTTTTGACAAGGTTTCAACATCATCTTCAGTTTGTATACAGGATCCCACATAGATTTGCTCTGTAATCTAAAATTTGTAAGATATCAATGCTTTATTAATATTGTATGAAGTATGGTATCAAACAAAATATTGTAAACAAGTAAATGAAATGGATCACACTGCAATAAATGGCATACCTTACTATAGCGCATACCAAGGGAGTGATTGTAGTACATCTCATCCTTGGAACGATCCAGAGCCTGAATATATTCCTCAAGTGGAAAACTTCCATGAGCCCAATCTCCATCTCCACACACTTTTTCGCTAAAAACACAAGCAAGTTGTGTTTTGTGTTCAGTAAAGAAGTTTCTCTCACCATGTGTGATGGTATGTTGATTTAGATTGTTCAACAACTTGCTTCCATTCGGTTTGAGAAACTTTGAGTTGAACATCAAAAATCCAGAATTCCCACAGCTTTTACTAGATGATTGTAAATTTGATGCCAATAGGGTCTTGTTCCATGTGACAACAGGAACTCGACCTCTATTAAAAACTATTTCAAGATCATTCATCTTATGCAGCAGTTGAATGGGAAAAGGATTGGTAGGCCTCTCAAGAACCAAGCTAAAAGAATTTGTTTGCTCATTTAGCACTTTCCTGAGGAAACCAAAAGACTGAAAAAATAAAAACAAAACACTGATGAACAGAATAGATTGTGATGATCAATGAAATAGTAATTTTCATCTTTCTAAGGTATCAAATAACTGAGTGCCTATTTTCAAGTACACCTAAAGAAGGATAAATGCACTAATAGAATTTACATTTTTCTCTATCAAATTAAAAGGGAAAACATAAGTGGAAACACAGAACTAGATCATTCAAATTATAAAAAAAGAACCATAAGCTGAAACAAAATCATCCATAACATAATGTCAATTGTTACTGTTTTCTCATCACTACTAATCATGGTAGTAAGTATTGCGCGATACGAATCGGTAGATTCGATACGGATTTTAGGGGCAACGATACAAATCATGCGCAGTATCATTTTTATCCAAAATCGTTTCGCGAATTGCACAAATCAACCGAATCGGTGCTGAGATGTGATTCAGTGGGTGACGCACGATTCAGGTACAAACCGGGTCATGCAAAAAGCGGGTCGGGTCAGCGCGATCCGATACAGTAAAACCCTAAAAATACTTTTTTTTTAATTTTTTTTAACAGAAAGGCAGATTTTTACCTTTGATGGCTTCTGTTGATAGACCCCCTGCATAATATTAAAAGAAAACCCTACTTTTTTATTCTCCTTTCATTCCCGCTCTTTCCTTTTCTCTATTCTCCACGTACACAGTTCAATATTCATGCTATTTCCTATTACATTGCTGTCATTATTGTAAGACTTCTCACAACTTCCCACCTCCTATTCAATATTTCTGGTGGTCCCCTCTTCCTCTGCCACGGTTCCTTGTTTTTTTTTATTTAGTTTCTTCTCTCTTTTCTACTTGTTGTTTGCTGTTAAGGGGAGACAAATGGGTCCTACCAAAAAAACAAAAGTGATATCACATGGAAACTCTGTGAAAGTGTCCCTCCGCACAGGCTATTAGTGAAATGTAAATATTGTTCTCATTCTTGTTCGGGTAGAATTGCAAGGATGAAACATCATCTAGCTGGAACAAGAGCAAATGTAAGTGCCTATACAAGTGTTCCAGATGAGGTAAAGAAGATATTCATCAAACTTTTGGAAGAGAAAGAAAAGAAAAAAAGTGAAAATAGCTTGGAATTTTTTGAAGAAGCTGAGACTCAGGATGTAAGTGGTCATCAAAAGAAAAGTATGGATTCTTTTGTCAACAAAGAAAATGGACGGACATCTAAAAATTTGAAGCAAACAACAATGAATACAATGTTCAAAGATAGAGATGTTGTCATTCAAGAAATTTGCAAATGTATTTATGCTAATGTCTTACCATTTAATTTGGTTAGAAGGCCCCATTTTATTCAAATGGTGAAAGCTGTTGAAGAATTTGGCAGGGGTTTAAAACCTCCTACTTATCATGAAGTGAGAGTCTCTTTTTGAAGAAAGCAGTTGATAGCATCCATCAAAATTTAGAGAAATACAAAAGTGAATGGGAGAAATGGGGCTGCACTATGATGTGTGATGGTTGGAAAGATGAGAAAGGAAGGTCCCTTTTTAATTTTCTTGTTAACAGTCCTAGTGGGACTGTCTTTCTAAAATCTATTGATACTAGTGATGTAATTAAGGATGCCAAGCAAATGTTTGAATTACTGGACAGCATGGTAGATGAAATTGGGGAAGAAAATATAGTGCAAGTTGTAACAAATGGCGCTTCTAATCTTGTGGCAGCAGGAAAAATGTTAGAAGAGAAGAGAACTAAATTATTTTGGTCACCTTGTGCAACCTATTGCCTTGATTTAGTTCTAGAGGATATCGGAGAGCTTCCAATTTTCTATGCTACCATTACAAATGCAAAGAAAATCACAACTTACATATATAGGCATACATGGATTCTTAATTTGTACAGGAAGCATTCTAAGGGAAGAGAGTTAGCAAGACCAGCCGTAACAAGGTTTGCAACTGCTTATCTCACATTAAATTGCATTATGCAACAAAAGAATGCTCTTAGATCTATGTTTGCTTCAGAAGAGTATGCTTCTAGTTCATATGCTAATAGAGTTGAGGCTAAGCAAGTGATGAGCATAGTGTTGACTGATGATAAATTTTGAAAATCCATCAAATATTGTTTAAAATGTATAATTCCACTTGTGAAAGTACTTAGACTTGTAGATAGTAATTCAAAACCAGCCATGCCATATATTTATGAAGCAATGGATAGAGCCAAAGAGCAAATTGCTGAAAATTTCCAAAAGAAAGAGTCAAGGTATAAGAAAGTGTGGAAGATCATTGATACTAGGTGGAATTTACAAATACATAGACCTCTCCATGCAGCTGCATATTATCTCAATCCTAGGTAAGTAGACATTCTTAATATCTTAAATTTCATTTAGTTGCCTATTCATCCTGACTATTTTTTATTGTTTGATTAGGTTCCATTATGACAAAAGCTTTAATCCAGATAGTGAGGTTTTGTGTGGTTTATATGAAACGATCGAAAGAATGGTTTCAGATAAAAGGACAAGATTTTTAATTGATCAACAACTTAAGAAGTTTAAGTCGGCCAAAAGATTATTTGGAATGAATATGGAAATAGACACTAGAGACAAGAAGCAACCTGGTAACTCTTCAATCTTCATACTTTGCTAATTTTACAAATAATTATAAACCAATAAGTAACATGACATACTTTGCTAATTGTTTATACATATTTTGTTTTGAATTTTGATAGCTCTTTGGTGGGAGAGTTATGGTGGAGATGGTAGAGTTACAAAAGGTAGCCATGAAAATTTTGAGTCTTACATTTAGTGCAACAGGATGTGAAAGGAATTGGAGTACATTTGATCATGTGCATACTAAAAGAAGAAATCGCTTGGAACAACAAAGACTAAATGCACTTGTGTTTGTTAAATATAACTTACACTTAGAGATGAGACAAAAGTGTAGAGAAGAGATGAGAGAAACTTATGATCCCATATGCTTATCCGACATTGAATCAGATGATGAATGGATTACTGAAAAAGAGGATCCATGCTTACCAAATGATGCTTCATGGATGAATATACATGAGTGCTTTACTTTTGAAGAGGGAGCTTCAAGCAAGAAAAGAAAAAGAGGTATTTGTGCTGATTTAGAATTAGAACATGAACAAGAAATACTAAAAATTTAATTACTCCAATACATATTATCATGCTTGTTCCATTATTTTGGTTTTATAGGTCCAAGAAACTTAAATGTCAAAGCTGATAAGAAAGAAAAATCTATAATAGAAGATGATGAAATTGAAGACATTATTAGAGAGGAGGTGGAAGAGGAAGAACTTTTGATTTTGGAAGATGAAGAGGATGAACTAAGTGACATAGATCTTGGGGATGATGAATGATCATTCATTATCTTTTTGAATTTTTGCTATAGTGACTTGCTATCATTTTTTGTTTATCTTTTCGAAAGATTATATGTTGATTTTGAGCAGTCACTTTTTTTTATAATGTAACTAAGTGTTATGATTTGAATCTTAGTTTGCTTACAAGTGTATGTCACATTGTTAGTTATATATTATTTACTTCAAAATATTAATATATAGATGTTTCTTTATGTTACAATACTCTTATATTTATGTTTTTTATTTTTTAAATTATTGATCTTGAATCTTACAATTCAAAATACGATTCGATTCACAATTCAAAAAATAGGTCATACGATTCACAATTTGAATCTCGATTTAACTACCTTGCTACTAATCATAATTCATCACTAATCAATTATACAGGTCAAAAACCAGTACAACCACAAGCTTAGGTTATGTGATGAATGATTATAAATGTATGAATTAGAACAAATTCAATAAAGCAATTTCCTAACAAGGAAACTTGATAAAAAATTATAAAGACAGCTACAAGTCAGAAACAGCCATAGTTTGGTGAAAAGCCAGCATTATACTTAGTTTGAGCTAGTGTAACATTAGTACTGACTAGTGAAACATGGTTTTAGTATTGGGAATGTGGGCTTAGACTTTGAAAGTAGGCCCAAGATTTGGAGAGTGTATGAGAGGAGAAACAAGGGTGTGAAGAAGAATGCTGAGGTGGGAAATGTTGAGGTAACAAAGGGTGTAACAGAATTAGCTAATGAGTGAGAGAAGTAGGGGAATATAGAGAGGAGAGTGAGGAGAGGAGGTCAGGATATTTTGGAATTCTATTATGGCCAGGGAGTGTTAACCTTTGGAGAAGCTTGCTTTGTGGCTATCTTTCTCTTTCATTTTGAATAATAATACATACAATCTCTTATTTTCTCTTCATTCTTCTTCTATATTTTGGGTCTCTATCATTTGGTCCAACCTGCCAGATCCAACAGGACAGCGACATATTCCGATGATGTAATTAGCAAATGCCACCAAAGAAAATGGAGGCTAAGGTTGCTGTGCTTGAGACAGAGGTTGCCAGCCTCAAAAACGCGATGCAAGTGATGCAACTCAAGGCTGATTCCAATCACGAGAAGCTCATGTTGTTAGAAATTGGAACACTGAAATTTACTTTTGAAACAGTCTTGTTTTACTTGGACAGAAATTATCATACATTGGGAATTGTGTGGTTGACTGATAGATTCAAACATGTGTATAGTAGGAGAAAGAAGATTGGTCAAGAAATAAAAGAGTAAATAACTAATTCTATTAACAGTGGACAGCTGGCTCTTTTAGCAATATAAATAAGAGCACAAAGATAGTTAGGAGTTTTTCAGTTTTTCAGTTGGAATAGAATAGACTGGTCTGGAGAGTGAGGTCTCTCGAATTACCTACGTTATTGGAATCTTGTAACAATTCTTCCTATTTCTAATCTGTACTACATTGGTGTAGAATTGGGAATTAGGTTCAGCAATAAAGAAACATTCTTTCATATTCAGTTTAACATTTGGTTCTATCATCGGCGCCATTAGGTGAGATGGTGGTCGACTGGGGAAAACAAATCTTGCAATTTCAATGGCAAAATCTTGTGCCTACTTCAAAGTCTAAGCCCACATTCCCAGTCTTAAACAATATATAGAAGAAGAATAAAGGAAAAGTAAGAGACTATATGTATTATTCCTCAAAATGAAATAGAAAGATAGCCACAGAGCAAGTTTCTCTAGAAGTTAAAACACCCTGACCATAACAAAATTCCAAAATATCCAGATCTCCCTCTCCTCACTCTCCTTATCCTATATTCCCGTACTTCTCTCACTCATTAGCTAATTCTGTAACACATTTTTCCACCTCAGCATTTCTCACCTTAGCATTCCTCTTCAGACCCTTGTTTTTCCTCTCATACACTCTCCAAATCTTGGGCCTACTTTCAGAGTCTAAGCCCATATTCCCAGTCCTAACCTGCTTCTTCAATAGGACCCTTGTTCTTAAGGCACAAATGAGGAAAATTGACTTTTGATGTTAAATTCCTCTTCCCACGTGGCATCTTCCAATCCTTTGCCCTTACATTGGATAAGCACTTGACTAACAGTGTCCTCTCTCTCTTTGATCAGCCTCTTTGCTAGCATAGCTTCCAATTCCAAACTTATTCCATCATCACAAGCCAACTCTAGAGAAAGTTCATATTGCACATTAGAATTCCCAACAGCTTTCTTAAGTAAAGATACATGAGAAAGGATGTATCTTGGTTGCGTCAGGCAATTACAACCTATAAGCCACTGCTCCAACTTGTTCCAGCACTTTAAATGGTCCATAGTAACGTGCAGCCAACTTAGGATTAATACGAGACCCAACTGTTAGTTGTCATTGGGGCTGAAGCTTGAGGAATACAAAATCCCCTACTGCAAACTCATGATCTGTCCTCTTCTTATCCACATGATCCTTCATTCTATTCTGGGCCAGCTGCAATTGATACTTCAATTGTCTGAGAGCTTTGTCTCTGTCCATCAACTAGCTTTTTACTGCTTCCTCTCTTACCTCTCCAGGCAGAACTTGAGTTATCATAGGAGGTTTCCTGCCATAAACAACATCAAAGGTGTCCTCCCACTGGAAGCATGAAAATTAGTGTTATACCAATATTCAGCCCAAGAAAGCCAATGCACCCCATTGCTTTGGTTGGTCTACCACAAAATAATGCAGAAACGTCCCCAAACAACGATTGACTAATTTAGTTTGGCTATCCATTTGTGGGTGATAAGCGGTACTCATTTCAAGGGTTGTGCCTTGAAGCTTGAACAACTCTTTTAAAAAGCACTCACAAATATTGGGTCCCTATCACTGACTATAGAAGCTGGAATTCCATGTAATCGCACCACTTCAGGAGTAAAATTGTCAGCCAATACACAAGCCGAATAGGGATGCTTTAGGGGAATAAAATGACTACACTTGGATAGCCGATCAACTACCACCAAAATAGCTGCTTAACCTTTGGATTTAGGTAAGTTATGAAATCCATAGAGATTATCTGTAAGTGGTCTTGCTCTTTTTCCACAATCCTTAATGAATTGAGTAGACCATAACAAGCCTTTGATCATTTGCTTTCCTCTGCCTATCAAAGTTTGGAGTGCAGTTTGACCCTGCTGTTTGTAGCCCTCCCCTTGTATATTGTGGGAACTAAGAATATGCTTGGAATGTCACTTTTAATTACTTGACTTTCAATTGAAAATATATATAATTACCAAATTTCAAGTGAAAGTCAAGTAATTAAATATATCATTATATACTTATCATTTACTTCAATAGCAAATTTTAACAAAATCCTTTAATTCAATTACATAATTTAGCAGCTGTCATTTTTTAGTATCCAAATAGCTTTTGGATACACAACTCAATTAAGTGTTTATCTGATAAACTCTTTTTACTTGAGCACTTAATGCAATAAATAAGACCACGATATCATTAGAGTATGTTGAAAAGAACTTATTTTGATAAGTTATACCAAGGGCCCATTTGGAAAAGCTTATGGACAACTCATGGAAGTAGCTATGACTCTCATAAGATCTTTTCAGCTTATTTCAATAGCCTTTTCATAAAACTTGCCAAAATAAACAGTTTTCAGCTTATCCCTATATGTTTCATGGATAAATTTATGTCATAAGCATAAGGAACTTATTGAATAGCACTTAATTAAGCAGTGTATCCAAACACACCCTAAGAAACTTATTGAAATAATTAATTTAATCAGCTGACAATAAATTCTTTCAGATGCGCCCTTAAACTTTCAACCAGCTTATCCATTAATTTTGGCAAAAGCACCATAAGTTGGACAATCCAATAAATAACCTTGGTCCCTTTGCTTTTATTCCTTGCTTCAACACAAGCTCAGTGCCAACCATCAAACCAGTGGCCAAGCTTGACTGATTAAATTGAGGGGCCCAAAATAATTAATGAATATAGGCACACGCGAACACACACACACACACATCTCTATGTAGATATTTGTGCACATGTGTGTACATAAAATTCACTATCCTATTATCATTAACACAAAATTAAATACAGAAGTTATATTTGTTTAAAGTATTTCTCTTTGTTCTTTTAATTGCTTGGCATCATCAACAATTACATCAGAATTGAAATTTTCAATTATTTCTTTTTAAAAATAAATGACTATTTATCTGCAAGAAATTTATCTGTTTCATCCTTTCTTTCTATGATTTGAAAATTTATTGTTGATGTTCGAACTTTTACTTTTGGGGGAACCATAGCTCCTCCCACTACTACAATGATCTGCCCCTCCACCAAACACATCACCGTGAACATAACAAAGTGCGGAGTGTAACACACACACACACATGTGTGTATATATATATATATATATAACGGAAGGTAAATTTTCCATTCGAAGTGATTCTCTTATTCATTTTGAGATTTTTTTTTTTTTCTAAAATATTATTCCCTAAAATTTTAATCGCCATCTATTCATTTTTTATGTACACATATTATAATTATCTAGAAATGAATAACCGCACCCCTAATCCTAACATGTCATAGAGCAAAATCAGAACCCATACCGTGTGTCTCCAACGTCTTTAATCTCAACGAGACTGTTCTGAGACGAATCGCCGGCTTTCTTCAAAGTGTCGCCCACCATAATTATCCTGGACCTCTCCGCATTACCCTACAATAAAATCAATAAATGAGTAAATAAATACAATCTGGAATTATGAAACGAATTTGTATGTGATTGTGGGACATAGCCACGTAGGACGGAGGGTACCCCTTTGGTGAGAGAGTGGACGATGATTTTGCCGTCAGAAGTTAAAGCGAATCGGATGCCGAGGGGCTTCTCGAGAGTGACGAGGTACTCGTTCAAGTTCATCTTGAATGCGGAGTTACCAGACACTGCGAAAACCCTAAAGTTTAGGGTTCCAACGATGGAGCGAAAATGGTAGAGCTTGCTTTTGCTGTTGTAGAGGGAGCGAGGGGTGGGACAGAAGGAACAATTGTTGGAGCTGCTCAGAAGAAGCGATGGAGGATGAGGGTGAGGGTTTGTGCTGACTTGCAGTGGAAGCATGTTCATTGTTATGGTTACGGTTGTGGCTATGGCAGAGCAGATTGAATTCAAGTTATGCTTAGTTTTAGTAACGTTAGAGAGGCAATAAGCAGAGCATGTTAGGTGAGACGCTGCGCTGCATTTTTCCTTTTTCTTTTCTTTTTTTCCTTTTTATTTTATAAATCTAGATACTAAAACTAAACGCCAGTTTTGCGGAAGAGAAGGCACGGTGTCGGGGTAAAAAATTTTGAGGCGTGAGAAACTGCGACGTGCACGTGGCGATTGCGTAGGACCCCTTTCCCAACTTTGTGTGCCCTGAGGGAACGAAATAAAATCTCTCTCTTCTCACTCACCCTGAAAAATCAAAACTTCATCACTAAAGGTGTTTAAGTTTAATAAGGATATTAATTTTTTAATATTTTTTATTATTTTTATATATATTAAAATGTATGGTCTTATTCTCTTTTATTTAATTAATTATTTTAGTTTTATTGTAGGGTATTTTGCAAAAAATTTAAAATAAAATTATAGAAATTACTTGCCAATTGATTACAATTATATAAATTATTTTAAAATGTATTAAAACAATCATCAGAAAGTAAAATTAAATTATGTTATAATTTGAATTTTTATGTAATCTTTACTTTTTTTTGTTAAATATATTTTTCATATGATAATTAATTATAATTCATATGTAATTTAATTTTAATTTATATATTACTTTAAAAATAAAATATTAATGTATGAGAAGAATTAAATCTGTCGTTAAAAATTTTATATCAAAGTGTTAAAAAAGTATTATATTAATATATGTATTTATAAAATATTTTAATTTTGACCATTCATTATAAAATTTAAAGATCAAAGTCTGCTGATTTCATTCTCACGTAAAAAAATGGCATTTTCACAGTGTAGTATTATTGCACTTTTTTTAACATTCAAATTTTACTAATTTTTTATTTAATATTCTATAATTTTTTATTCACGAAAATTGGAAACATTATTATAATATTTTAAAAATTATAAAAATTATAGAATAAAATTAGAAGAAATTGAACCAAATTAAACATTAATCAGATTGAAAGGCATACATGTATTATAAGACGAAACTCAAGCGTAATGTGAGGCAACCAACATTCAAATTCGAATTTCAGTGAGTCAAGAAATGTGAACCTTCCACCCTTGGAACTGGATAACACGCGAGACTCCACTCAAGTGCAATTAAAATTGCACTGCATGATGCGGGTCTATCCTCCACCAAGCCATACCAAACTTAATTAGAAATGTCTTATGCAATGTGAATGAAATCTGGAAGTTGTTAGAGAGCTAAGGAACATTTCTTCATTTTTCAACACACTCTCTACATAGGCTAAGAGCTATTTCTCTGTTCTCTCTTTCCTTCTCATGTCTTCAAAACCTCTCTCTCTACGTGCACCCCAAAACCGGCAACCAAAAGCTCCCATCCAAACTTCCACCTATTATCCTTAACAACCAACTAAAACCGACAATAGCCACACATAGTCATCACTGAGAATCACACTACCTTTTCTCCAAGAACAACACTCCAACTATGCTAAAGGGACATTGCACTAGGCTTTGAACACTTAGAAGTCAAGGATTAAGCTCACAGCTCATGTTTTTAGCCAAACAATCTACCTAAGGTAACTCTCTTCAAGAACTTGTACTCCTGAAAAGTATAGAATTTTCACACTTGCAAGCAAATTGTTCTGCATGATTTGACCTCTAAACCTTTTCATTTTTAATTTGGCTTTAATATATTTTCTTAGCTGTCCATAGCCACTTTTATTGTAAGATTTGGACCACAAATCACTACGATATACAACTTTTGGTGAAAATTGTTTCTGAACCAAACTTTTTCTAATATGCACGGATAAAACCCTTATTTTCGACCACCTATGTTTGATTTCATTTACTTCCATTTTTGTGTTCCTCGTATAAAAATCTCTCCATCAAGCTATTTCACGCATGATTTAGAACTTATTTGACCTCCCAATAACATTCACCAAATAGGTATTCTAATATATGTCATGTATGCAGTAATACTAGTAGAACAAGTCTGCAAAATGATTTTTCTGCACCTCATACGTGTGAGAAATTCGATTCCAAAAACATTTCCATGATCCTTAAGTGGTAATTTTCTAACCTAATTTGTGAACTTCGATTTAGAAATGCACTTCTATGTTTGCATGGGACAACAACCTTCCTCTCAATTTTTATCAAAATTTAGATGTGAAAAATTTTCAATAACCATATTTATGGGTTCTCTGTAGTACCATTGAAGCTTTGGATGTGTAAAATTCAATTCAACTAGAATCAGCCAAAAAAGATATATGTAGAAAAAGTTATGGCCAAAAAAGTAGTTAGAAATCAGAATAGCCAAAAATATGAAATTAAAAACATTTATTCGTAACAAGCTCAATTTATTTCAGTTACTAAAAAGTGGTAAAAACTATAAAAATAAAGCATATAAAAAGTTTTTAGGAATCAAAATAAAATTATAAATATGAATATAAAATATGTGATATCAAAGACACTGCACGTGATCACTCTTAGTGTCAAAGTGAGTCTTCCAAAGCTTTAGCATGAGAGAAGAGTTGCATATGGTCACTTTTAGTAGTGAAAGTGATTACTTTAGAGAGCAATTGTGCCTAAGACCCTATGTGTAAACTGTTTTAGTGTCATGAGTGTTCTATTCAGAAGTTGTGACCTTGTGTATAGCTACTCTCAGCACCAAAAGTGATTACTTTAAAAGCACGAGAAACTTATAAATAGTATGAACCTCAGAATTTTTAGGAGTTTTTCTCTTTTTTTTTTTCTTTTCCACACCCTTAGAGAGCTAGAGAGAGATTTTGGGGGAGAATTTCAAGGCTCAATTCTAGAGGAATCAAGCTTGGGACTTAAATTCATAGAGATCTTCTACACGTTCTCTTCTACTCTTTTTTCTCTCATTTTTCTAGAATCATGTTTCAGAATTGATTTTGTTAAGTATTGATCGATCCTATTTGGAAATTATAAATTAATTGTGGACCTAAGTTCTATATTCTTATATTGTATTGAATATTCAATTCTTTCCTTAATGCAATTATTGAATTGGCTATTCAATTGAATTGATTTTAGAGATTTTACATCAATAGAAGTTGAATAAACATAAAGAATTACGGTGATTGATTAAATATTAAGATCATTGAGTCAAGGAATTATACTTTGATTAATCTAGTGAAATTGATCATCAATCAATTAAGATACTTAGGAATTCATATTGCAATCAGTTTTGTAATTGACGAATAGGTGAAATCAGCCCTAACTTCATTTGATTAGTAACCTACTCACAATTTTATATTATATTGCTAGCTACAACTACATAGTATACTTGTTAGATAGGATTCTTATAATGCAACAAGTTTTTGGTATCGTTACCGGAGATTGCTTGAAATTGATTATCATTATTAAGAGAGAGATTACTAGATTGAACATTTCTTTTTTTTGTTTTTCTTTCTAATTTTTCTACATTGTTTAATTTTTGTGCTGTATAATTTTTTGCTTTCATTTAAATTTTGTTTACTTTCTTTTTGTATGCGAGGAGAAACAAAGAAGAAAGTTGATATGTTGTTTGACCCTGACATAGACAAGACTCTAAGAAGATTAAGAAGTGAAGCTAAAGCAGAAAATTCATAGAGGAAAGAGCAAGAAACTATACTAACTTCAGAAAAATTAATTGAGAATCCAACCACACCAAAGGACAACACTATGGTTGAGAACAATAAGATGACAACTTTGGGAGACTATGTCATTCTAAATATGTAGGGCTATAGTTTAAGCATTGTCAAGCCAACCATTCAAGCAAATAATTTTGAGATTAAACTAGCCTTGTTACATTTGGTGCAACAGTGTCAATTCTCTAGAAGTGTATCCGATGATCCTAATCTTCACATTTCTAATTTTCTGCAGCTATGTGAGACAATTCGAATTAATGGAGTTAGTGAACATGCTATTTGTAGTGTTGGTTTCAAGCCCAACCACAAGGAAGCATTATTACATGGACAAATTTGGTGAATAAATTTCGGACTAAATACTTCCCTCCTTCTAGAGCTATAAATTTGAGAGGAGAAATCACATCCTTCATTCAACAAGATGAAAAATCTTTATAGGAAGTATGAGAAAGGTACAAAGAGTTGTTGTGAAGATGTCACCTTCACTGCATTCTAGAGTGGATGCAATTTGAAACTTTTTATAATGGGATGAGTGCTACCACAAAACCATGGTAGACGCAACAGCTAGAGGTTCATCGAACACCAAAACTTTGGAGGAAGCTTAGCAATTAATTGACATGATAGTTACTAGCATGTACTAGAATTTCAACAAAATGCATGTTGAAAGAAAAGGAGCATTTGAAACAAAGGCACTTAAGACTCTGATTACCCAAAATTAGATGCAAAATTAATTGCTTTCTGAACAACTTGCAGCCTTGACTCAACGAATTAGTAGTTTTCAAGCTGGAGCTGCACAAACAAATCCCTTGGTGTGTGATTTTTGTGGTGGAAATCTTATGAATGAAGCATGTGATGTATCTACACTATAATTTAAAGAACAAATCAACTATATGGGGAATTTTTAGAGACCTCAACCCCCCTTTCCTCCTGAATATCATCAAGCTAATAGGAGCCAGCTGTATTATAATTGGAATCAACAAATGCTTACTACAAATGTTAATAATACAACAATATCATTCTCTAGTCCTCAATTTTTATAGCCTTCTTTTCAAGCATCCTCTTTTCAACCTCAAAGAGGACAACAACATTCAAAAACTCTTCCAAAAAGAATGAATGAACTTGAAGAAACCTTACTCCAATTCATGAAAGTTACTCAATCAAGCTTCAAAAACCAAAAAGCAATAATGAAGAAGCTTGGGATTCAAATCGAATAACTTTCAAAACAATCGACAAATAAAGATGATGGTAGATTCCTACCAATATTATTGTAAATCTAAGGGAGCAATGTCATGCTGTCATAATAAGAAGTGTGATACCCTATTTTTGTTATTTATTAATTTTGTATTTTGTATGAATTGTTAATGTATGTTATTTGAAATTAGGAGAGTTTTAGGTGTGTGAGTTGCATGATTTCTCGCTGTAGTGAGATGATCCCATTTGGCA